AATTACTAGTGTTTAGAGTGTGTGTAGAAGTAATGAGCTCTGTAAGTACAGGATAAAAGCTAAAAGGAGGACTATGGTCCTGTCACACTATAACATTTTAGGCAACTTACACCAACTAGGAATATTTTTTGTCTAAATTACATCTGCTCAGAGCTCAGAGCACAGCTGTCTAGCTGCAGAGTGGACTTCTAAACGTTGCAAATTATTACCTCAGCAGCACCGTTGGACTGGCCATCCGGCATAGCTGGCACTTTCCCAGTGGGCTGGTGGTGATTTTGGGCTGGCCTGTTTATTTTTTGTATTTTTTCTCTCTTTAAGTTATGATGTTACCGATAGCTACACACAACTGGTAGATCGGCCCATTAGACAGACATGAATGACTGATTCTGGGCTGGACAAGTTACAGCAGCCGAGGGCTGATGCCCCCTCCCTCATGGGCTGCAGCTGGGAACAGAGAATGTGCTGCAAAACACGAAAAGTAGGTGCCGAAAAAAGAAAGCAAGATGAACATTATTTAGTGGTTGTAATTTGCAACCATTAAATGAGTAATTTCTGTCTCCTGATCCCTTTGCAGAATGCGAGAAGAGAGAAAGGAAGAGATGCAGCTCAGCTTTTTCGTTAAATATAGCAAAATCATTCTTAGCAGCCTGTTTAACAACCCATAATTTGGAGTTATAGGACCCAATTTGCTGTAGATGAAACCTTGAAGTGCCTGTGACATCAACATTTGTAAGAAAAGTTAATGCTTTTTTTGGAAAGACAACATTATTTACATATTACAAAACAAATTTCACATTGCTCAGATGGACAGTTGTTGAGATATTTGCATATGAAGTAACAGGAAGTGATGTCAAAAGGGAACGTCTGCATGTGAATATTTAAAAAAATAGATGTTACCAATTATTTTGTTATTTGAGATGAATTACAGTCAACCTATTTACAATGTGTTAACATTTTTAAGACTTCTGAAAGATTGATTTAAGACATTTTAAGGCTAATTAAGGCCTTATTTTTGGATTGATGAATTCAACGACTTTTAAGGCTTTTTAAGGATCTGCAGGGACCCTGCTGTTACTGATACAGCAGATGATTCTGGTAATGATCAAATGATGCATTCAGTCTCCTATCTGGTGTCTACTTTCCTCTGTGGTATTAATGTCTGCATATACCAGAACACAATTCTGTAAGAGCTGCATATGTCTGCTGGGAGCAAAACACAGAGGAGCCAGGGTTAAAATTTGGAATATTCTCTTGTTACATAAAATAAGCAAATAATGTGAGAGCATGTTTAGTTGACTTTAAAAATGAAATATCAGCAACGAAATAGCACATTTTACAGAGGGAAGAGGAAGAAGAAGAAGAAGTAGAAAAAATGTTTTGCAAGCGTATGAACTTGTTCGGAAAGCATACAGGCAAAAATTTTGAAATTTTGATAAAGCTGCCAACCAGACATTCATCGAGTTTGTGTGAGATAAAGCAGTTTTATTTGATAAATGGTATCACTCTTCCAAAGTAAAAATCACTGGAATATTTACGAGAACATATTTTCCTGGAGGAATTTTAAAAAATGTTTGCCAGAGCGCATTGTCTTTTATTTAAATTAACAAAAAATTTCCTCGCTCACTAAAGCAGCTTTGTTAGCCGATGAGTTTATTCTTACTCATAAAAATGAGTAAGAATGTAAAAATAATGTAAAAATAATGTAATAAAAATTTACTTCATTCACTAGGCCTACTTATCCGAATGTTCCATCTGAAAAAAGAAATAAATCTCCTAGACTTGCACGTAAAAATGTTCCCTCATCACTCAGTGAAACTTGTGGATGTTTTTACTGCCATGAGTCAGGTCATCTGGTCGCTGTGTGCCCAGTGTTGAAAAGAAAAGAAGCTAAACAAGCTAAATCTCCTGTTGGTGTTGGGTTAATAAAATCTGCTTCTAAAACCAAAGTCAGCTTAGCCTGTCCTGAAACTGAACAAACACGTTCTGATGTACTGTAGATCTGCTGTTCTCACCATTTATCTCAAAGGGTTTTGTCTCTTTGACTGGTGAGGAAAAAGATAAAGTTCCGGTAACAATACTCCGCGATACAGGTGCCTATCATTCGTTCTTGTTAGAGTCTGAGTCTGTTTTGCCTTTGTCAGAAGAAACGTCCTGTGGTTCTGATCTGCTTGTGTGGGGAATTAAAATGAGTGTCACAAACGCCCTTCTGCACATGGTACATTTATATTCACTGCCGTGTTAAAGTGGCTGTGCGTCCACGATTACCAATCAAAGGCGATTCCTTCATTCTAGAAAATGATCTTGCTGGTGGACAAGTTTTTCCGCCACCAGAAGTGATAAATAAACCTGATGTGTCTGCGCTCTTTGCCGAATCTCCTGTCGCCACCTCCAAAGTCTTTCCAGCTTGCGCAATTACAGTATGTACACTTAAGCTCGCAAAATGTGTGACTGTGTTGATTTATTTGAATCATTTATGGCTACCCTGGATGAAAATAAGATTTTCCTGTGACATATCGTTGAAACCGAAAATGTGATGAAATGTGATGATGTGCCTGAACTGTTTCCTGCTGATGCAGATTTAACTTTGAAAGTGGATGTTG